TTAAGGACGTTAGCGCGCGCGTTCTTTACGTAGATATAAAGTTCCCCAACTTTATGCTCCGCGAAAGTCCCTTTAATCGACTGTATATTTGCCGCAGAGTTATTCCGTCGACTGCGGCACTGTTCCAGCGACTACGAGACACTCCCGCCATTTTTCTTGACACAATTTCGCTGAAATATTAATCTTATTGCTATCAAAAAATTTTTATTGCTCGTCCATGAATGACCCTCATCAACCGATTCGTTGCATATTATGCATTTGAAGATGAAATAATTTTTGTTGCATCTACATTAAGATATTTCATACTGGAACTATCAGAGCGGTCAAAAATGACAGATTTGTAATTTCTTATAAAACATATTTAAACTCGTAACAGTGTACTTTACATTTTTAATTGGCGTTGAATAAAATTCAAAAGAATAAAAAACATTTTTTCGCTTGCATTAAATAATTTAAAAAATGTATTATTTTGACTGCTTTGATAGAAATAGGCAATTGATCGTCAATAGTTTTAGACTCTTATTCAAAAGACTTCTAAGTCACACTTAGAGGCACTTTTGTCGATAATAAGTTAATAATAAGATAATAAGATAATAATAAGTTTGTCTGAGACACTTAAAGGGAAATAAAAGAGATAAAAGAGAGTTCAAAATAAGAGTCATAGTATTGCAACACTTTTACTTTGACGAATTTCGCAATGCATTCCAATTTTCCAATAAGAAAATGTATCTCTTGAGAACAACTAAAGATAAATTTTCTTATTGGATACGGGACGCACAGCAAAACTCATCGAGGTGAAAGCGCTGCAAGCTTATTCACTAGGTATATTCAGGGTGCCCAGGAGGCGTATTTTCAGTGGAACAGTATCGAGGAAGCTACTTTATAAATTCACTATTTAGTAAACGAAATTACGTTCTTATATATTTATTTCACTCTTAAAATAATAAATGCCAGTATGAAACTAATTTCATGACACTATCTTGCCATGTTTCACTCAGTACAATGCTACTCAAAATATAAAACTGTAGTTTTCCGATTTATTACCGACTGTCACGCAAAAATGATATAGTGAATACTATTTTTCACGAAGTATCATTTTTTTATGAAGTTACACTGGAATAATAATAATCTGTATTGTTTTTAAAGTCATATATGTGCAAAATTGCGATATTCAGTATTAAATTTCTCATGAACGGTGCAGACAAATCGCATGAAACTTCAACTACAAATATGTTTTACAACGACGAATTACGTGAAATTTTCGTATAATTTTAAATATATTGGTTCAAGTGAATAAATTCTTTAGGCATCTGATTGTACAGTCGCGTTTTTCATTCTCACTGCTTGTCTTTTACATACATTCCGCGTACACGGAAGAGCCCAACTGACGTCCCTTTATCACTCAAAAGTCTATGAACACCCAAGATACGCCGAGGCAGCTTGTCCTACTCGCGCAAGCGCTTGTGCTCTATAACCTAGGCCAATAAATTTCACACGATTGCTAAAGCGACGATCGGTCGTTTACCTTCTCTTCATTCGCGGCGCCGTTTCCATCGAGAACGATGCACTGCGTCGCGCGCATCTAATTTTAATTTTTTTTCTCTTCCTTCTTTCATTTTGTTCTCTCTCTCTCTCTCTTTCTCTCACACACACACACACACACACACACACACACACCGTCTTCTCATTCCTCCTCATTCCCGCCGGTGTTCTACCTCTCGTCGAACTACCGCGAGAACGAGACGCTGACGAGCATCACGGAAATAGAAAGCGACGTACGCGTTCAGACTCGACGTTGTCGACAAGTTCGCTCGAGTTTAAGACAACCTTCGAATCCCACCGCCGAGATTCCGTTCCCTCAGCGGCCAGAGGCTACCCAGCCACGGAATTAGGCGACCATCGTCGTGATTTTCGTCGTCGATCGGAGAGGTCGAGGGTGACCGTTAATTCTGGAGATCGTCCTGTCCGGCGCTTATAGAAACTTTTGTTCCCATAGCCGACCGACCGACAAGTTGGTGTGTATTTATACACGCGACGCGGCATTTGTCAGAAATTTGTCATGCCCTGTCACGCGCTCGTTTCTTGTTAAATCCGCGCTATTGTGTACACTGCATTTTTTTCGTCGTCCTTTTCCGACCGAAACCGACTTAGAAACAACTAAAAACGATTGAAAACACCCCGATCGACGGGCCCATCGCGTTTCCAGCAAAGAACGGCGATTGGTATCTTGACATGATGACAGTGACGACGAGGTGACAAGCGCGGTGCACCGTATAATGCAGATCCAATGCAGATCCAATGCAGAACACGATAAGTCTCGCATAGAAAATTTCTCGTGATCCAGTTTAACTCCCCAAAATAATCATGAGTTCTGGTTAGAAGTGTAATGTTTTAAACATGTGATTCTGAGTGTGGAAAGCTCAAAGTTATATTCTTCCTGGTGTCTTTTTTTCAATTAGAACTAGAATTAAACAAAATATAATATTGATTTTCTAAATAATTTCATCATTTAGTAAAACACTTCAAGTGTTTTAAAATACTTTTTTTTTTCATTTTTTATTACATTAAATAATAAAATTAATATAAAAGTAGGATATTCCAAATATTCTTTCTGGCCTTCATTTTACATTAGAATTAATCAAACAATGTGTTAACTTTTCAAATAATTTTATTATTCAATAAAATATTTAATGTTTTAAAAATATATTTTTTAAATATATATTTTTTTCGTTTTTTATTTTATTGAATACCACAGTTGATATAAAAATTGAATATTCTCAATATTCTTTCTGATCTTTATTTTACATTAAAATTAAATAAATTATATGTTAACTTCTCAAATAATTTCATTATTTAGTAAAATATTCAAAGCGTTTTAAAATATATTATTTTTCGCATTTTTCATTTTATTAAATGCAATAATAATATAAAAGTAGGATATCCTCAGTATTTTTTTTTATCTTCATTTCACATTAGAATAGAACAAACTATATGTGTACGTGTGTGTTGGTTTTTCAAATAATTTTATGATTCAGTAAAATATTTAAAGTGTTTTACATATATTTTATTTCTTGAATTTTTTGTTCTATTGAATGCACAATAGTTGTGGTACAAAAATAAGATTCCTTGCCAGACACTATAAAAGTCACTGGCGTTACTGACTGAAAAAAAGCTCGAGTTTCCATAATATTTCTGCGTTTTAATTTTAGACAGAGAAATTATGTTTGGCATGAGAATAAAATTCTCAATCGGTATCATAGTAAAATAAGCAATTTTCAGGCAACTTCGGGCAATGTAATCGGGAGCAATGTAATCGGTATACGTTATCGAGGAAAATTCTTGGGAAATTTCACGGGGTTCCCCGAAAACCGCCCTAGAACGGTGTAATCGTCATCGGTCCGATACTCCGAGTGTTGCGGCGCGAGACAAGAACGTCGTTACGGTGCGTAATACGCCATGTAATTAACGACCGCGCACCGACGACGACGACGACGACGAACACGACGATCGCTAATTACCAGAGAGTTCTAGTTACCATTTCGCTTTGATCGCGTTTGACGAACGAACCTTTAATAATCCGGTCCTCTTTCACGAGAGCGTCGTTACAATCCGGCGATAATTCACGATGAACGGACATTTAAATTGTGGAATGCTTCCGCACGGTCATTTCTCGCGCGGCGTAAATCCTCGAGAAGCGCGAATTTCATCTCGGATTAACTCCGACGGAGTCGATCGCGTGGGAAGTTCAGAATAGTGGGGGAGAGGGGAAAGGGGCGTTGAGACGCAAAGTCGGACGTCTATAAAACGCATAAATCGCGAAGTTTAGTAGTTGCTTAAAAAAAGAGGGAAAGGAAACAATTAAATAGACATGCGTCCTCGTGATTGGCGAATTTACGAGAACGCGCGATACGACGACAGCGGTGACAATGACAACGACGACAACGTCGATTCGTTCATTTGACGAGAAATTCTAGACATTATTTATTACATCTATTACTTGTACTTGTTTGTTATATTTTTTTAAAACAATTTATTATGATTTTTTGAAACAATGTTTGTTCTTTTTGATTAGTTATTTATATACATTTTTTACGAGAAATATATATTACTTCTTCGTACTGAGAAAAATTATTCGATTAGAAATTAACAAATGGATATTTCCGATCAAAATACCGATGAACTTTTGTATCCGATTAGGAAACATCCAATAAGAAATATCAATTCATAATTTTTTGATCGGTTTATCTAATGAAATGTTATCATGATCGAAAGTATTCGATTAAATTTAATCGAGTATCCTCATTGGACATAAAAAATTAATATTAATATTTTTCGAAAATATTTGTTTGTTAATTTTTTATCGGATAATTTCTTTCAGTGTGATGTAACGCGTAATTTCCCAGTTTACAATAACGAAGAATAAATGAAGAAAGAAAAGCCTTACATAAAAACACATTAAATTAAAGAACATTAAAAAACACATTAATTAACAGTTTACGAGTTAAGTTCCGATATAAATAGATTATGTGTAATAATCGTGCGATCTTATAACTTTTCAATTATGTAACATTCTTTATATTTTATTATTTATACTTATTTAAGTGTGATTGATTAATTTTCCTTCATTTGTTACTTCTATATTTCTTTTTCTCTTTTCTCTTTCGGCATTTTGTACATATCCTATTTTTTCTCTTTTCATTACTTTGGGTCTGTTTATCTCCGACAATATTTGTCATATATACTAAAAAGTATTGCTGTATATATATGATTTATTTATATTATGTATATGTGTATTATTTATATGTATTATTATCATTAATAATACATATAAATATTAATAATACATATAAAAGCAACGAATCAAGCAGAATTGGTTGAATTCATACATCACACACGTTCTACCTATACACACAAACACACACGTATGCTTTCCCGTCTATTATCCCTTTCGCGGACTCCCAGAGGCGGAATTAGCAAAGATTTGGCCATGTCTGTTTCAGATCCTTGGAGATTTTCTACCAGCACGGGAAAACGCACTCCGAACTGCTGAAAGCGCAGCACGCCACCAGCGGCTGCGCGTTAAGCGGGCCCCTGAAGTACACGAACTCGGTAATCCTGTGGCTACGTTGCAACGAGGTATTTCTCTTCGTGCATGCTACTTCAATACGTCGCGGTCGATCGATGTCGCATCGCGCTACCATTCTATACTGTCACGGGCAGGCCGTATGATATATTGCCGAAATCATGACGACACGAGTTCTCGTTTGCGCGACGAGTCTTCCGTCGCGTTTCCCTCGTCCCGCGCCGCGCGTTCCCGCCGTCTGTCTCGGTCGTGGCCCGAGATATTCGTCTGGACGCGATTCGTCACTCTTCATTGAGCGGGAGCGTCGTGCGCCAACGTGGTGCGATGGCCTCACGGCGATCTCTTACGTGAGGAAACCGAGCCTGCGTAAATATAAAGAAGCTTGACGTGTAATCGTCCCAACGCGCGTGCGAATCTTCGTGCAAGTAATAAATAATCTCAGTCGAATTCGTTTTACGCGACGAAAAGAATACCATAAGCCATGTGCTCTATTTCTAGATAGTGAAAAATGTATTTAAAATGGGCACCAAATTAAAAACCTTGATAAGCTGATTACAAAGATATAAGTTTTAGAGCCGCTCAGAGTACCGTTCTACACTGAGAAAAAAATTCTTAAAAATTTATTTGTAAGACAAAAACTGATTTCACAGAAACAAATTTTATTTCTCAGAAATATACTTTATTTCACAGAAATAAATTTTGTACCACATAAATAAATTTCCAAGTATCTTTTCTTCAGTGTAACACTACGATCCAGAAAGGTCCCAAATTAAGCTACTTTCAAACTGATGTTTCTCTAGCAAAATTTAACGGATTTTAAAAATTCAAAATGCTACATTTAATAAAATTAAATGAAAAATTTAATGGCATAAATTCCATGTTCCAAACTGACAGGAAGTAGAAAATTCCAATTGAAACACCAACTTCCGGTTAATTTTGGAACGTAAAGAGCATAGGAAAATGCATCTTAACCTACTCAAAAAGATTAGAAATACTCAAATTGTTTTTGCTTAACTATTTTAAAAACTAGATCAAACATAATTCAAAGTTTTGCTCAAGAAACATAAAACAGTAACCTATTTTAATTTGGAACCTTTTTGGACCGTAGTGTTGGAACGGTACCCTGGACGGCTCCAAAACTTATATCTTTGTAATCAACTCATCAAGGCCTTTAATTTGGTACCTATCTAAGTACATTTTTCACTGCCCAGAAGTGGGGCACATGTTGGCGTCACTCTTTAGATAGAAAATTTCAAACAGAATGTGCGCGCAATACACAAATACAAAGAAAAATATCTTTCTGCTGCTATAAGAAGCGGTGACTCACTTTACTTTCCTTCTAATGCTTATCTTCAACAAAGAATATTTTCTTGATAATATACTTATAATATATCATTAATATATAAATGTATATAGTAATATAAATATAGTATATCACTACAAATTTGAGAAAAGCTGACATTATCATATGTTCGTATGAAAATGTTATTCTCTTTGTCAAGATATTATAAAACTTTATCGACAGGAATGACACTATATATTCCCGCACTGCACTAAAGATAAAACTGGAAAGAATATTAATTTTTTCATGAGAGGAAACTGTAATATATTCTCTCCGTTTACCTTGTTACTTTAGATCAAAAGAGGGACGAGTTGAATGGGAGATCCTCGGGCTCAACGGCGCGTTTTCAATTCCGCGGGGAGGACGCGCGGTGGCAGCTGCCGACCGTAAAGCACTATCGTGTTCGTGCGTAGTTAAAGTTTATTGTTGCTCAGTACGCCTCGCTTTATCGACATCATCCTAGAAGTCGTGCGTCGTGCTAATCGACGGCGTCGTATACAGGCGCGCACCGTGATAAATATTTCGTTTTACGAGCGCGATGGAAAAATTCGAAGGACAGGAATTATCGTGGCGAGCGTCGTCCCGACGCGCGTTAATTGTTGGGAATTGTATGTATAAATAATCGACACGGGGCGCGCTTATTTCGCCGATGCTTTATTCGACGCGAGGTCGCACGCGCGCGGCCTGTCGGCACGAGTCCTTCGAGTTAATTTACGAGGGTGGGTTTGGCGCGCGAGGAAGGTAGCGTTGTTCCTCCGTTCGTTCGTTCGTTCGTTCGTTCTTCCTCACATTCGTTCGCTCGTTCGTTCTCACGTCTGGATCTCAACCGAAATAACTACATTGTACGTTCTCCACGGCGCCACTCGTTTTCCTTGATAAATGATAAAGTTTATCGCTTTCGGTGCAGTTCGCTCTGGTTTATCGTCGCCTACCAACAGTCCAGATAATCGATGCTACCATTCTTAACGACCGTAAATACGTAGTTCCGCCTACCGACTTTTTCCAGAGATCTCCGGTCGAGAATTCTCTCGCGACGGAGATCGTCGGCGACACTACTCGAGCGAGCTGCTGATCTGACTCGACGGGAAACCTCTTTTTCTCTCTCTCTCTCTCTCTCTCTCTCGTGATCGAAAACGTGTCGTCTCGAGAACGAAATCAATTTACGAAGTGAATGAGCATCATCTAAAGAACAATGCTGCAAAAAGGCCAAAATTTGTCTGTAAGGGAAATGCATGAAATCGAACTATCTTGATATTTTTGGGCTTGTTGAGCTCGAATATGAAGCTCAAAATTGTCCAAATTTTTTTGGGAAACTTTCTGAAAATGCAGCTTTTCTCTTACAAAAAAGCTTCGTTTTTCAAATATTTTTCGACTAACAATTGTGAACAAAACAAATCATTGAAAATTGTCTCCACTGTCGAACTGCAACTACACACCTTTTGCCTCTCGGCTCTTACCGGTCGCGTTTTTGCTCGCTCCTAACAACTTAATGCGGTGTCGGGATTACACAGCTGTCAAAGTATTGCCGTTTTGTAACGGGACATTAAATCGCGCGTGCCTCGGATGGGCGACATTTTGAGAAGAGGCGGGGATGCAAATTGCAGGCTCTAATTACGCGAGTAGATGGCGGCACTGATTGCACGTTAGGGAGATCGGAGGAGAGGTGCATTCGCGAATTTATCGGATCTCAATGTTGTGATCGCGTTACACCTGCGCGCGGAGACGGATAGAATCCCCCTCCCTCCCTTCATTTCTTCCTTCCTTCCTTCCTTCCTTCCTTCTTTTCTTCCTTTATTCCTCCGAGATTCCAGGCTACTTAGCCGAGCGTTACTTCATTGGATATATTCGCCGAAGTGGCAGTGGAGCGGCGGACGTGCCGATCGACGGCTACTGTCGCGAGAACTGTCATTTCACCAGCAGCTTTTTCCGCGTTGTTAATTCACCACGGCTCGTTCTGCTACGACGGCTCGCTCGTAAATAGAAAAGTAAATTAGGAGGTACTTTCTGACGATAAGTACCGGTTCTAGAATAGGCCGCGAGTGTGCGAGGCATTTTGTTTTGACAGTTGTCACTAAGACGTTGGTCTTTTTTGTTTCCTTCTTTTTGTTCTCTTTTATTTCTTAACTTAAGGGAGTAGACGCGCACCCAACCGGGCGCGTAGGACGCGTATGGCACCCAGTTATTGACATCTGCCTTAGTCATTGAAATCGGAGAAAAACTGGTTTTTCTCGCGGTCAACATAGCAATTAAACTTCCTGCCTGCACTCTCTATGATTCCAAAACAGATCTTCACAATTAAGGCTGTGAACAGATGCCGCGGTCGCAAGGAAGAAACAGGTTTTTTAGAATGACAATGACTAAGGGGGACCCGCTATAATTGGGTGTTTCACCCTACTATGTATCGGTATATATGAAGTATTATAATTAAATTAACAGTTGATAGAAAATATTCTACTAATTTAGAATATCGTAATAATTAAGGAAACGAATTTCCTTATCTCTCTAGAGGATAAGACACTTAATGTTAGGTTCTAAAATATCTGTGTTCTTTTTCATATTAGAGGAAAAGTAAGGAATAAATTGCGCGATTGAGAGATAATATTGGGCATTAATCGATTAAAATTAATCGATAGAAATAAATGGAGAATCAATAAACAAAATTGGTCAATCGTCATGTATAATATTACGAATAATTTAATTAATTAATGAAATTAATTATTATTCAAACTTTGATTTTATTAATTATATACTAATTACTAATTACTTTTATCAGTCGACTAAAATCGATGAAAATTACAGTTGACTAAAGTAATCAAAATTATCAAAATTATCAAAATTAATTACTTGTTATGCATATAATTACGAATAATTTGATCGATTGATAAAGCTTTGATTTGATCGACTAAATGCCGGTTAATAACTAATTTCATCAATCAATTAATCGATTCGTGATTACATATATGATAATCGATTAATCGACTGACCTTGATTGTTGATTTACCGATTATCTTAACTAAATAAAATTGTAGTCGATCAACGTATAATACTGTCGGAAGAGTTGGTAATATTTTTCACTTCCAACCATACAATTTATTCCTTGCATATTTTAATATAAAATTCTAATACGCGATACCGTTTCTTCCTTCTGCAATCGCGCGCAATGAAACACTTCGCGAAGCAATCGCATATTTGTCCTCTTTATATAAATCGAGTTCGACTTTTACGTAATAAACACACACAATAAAAAGTTGATATTCTTGTTCTTAAAAAATCCTTTAAAATAGGCACCAAATGTGAAATATTCTTAACATTGCATTCCAAAAATCCCTTTTGAGGAAAATTTAACTCAATATCTATAGTTCACGTTATATATACTATAGAATATTGAGTAAGATTTCCTCAAAAAGGACGTTTTAGAATGCAATCTAAGGTTTATTCCTCTCCACGAGTAGAGAATTTCCTCTCAAATCAAGAGGAATAAATCTTATGTTTAGAATATTTTGCACTTGGTGTCTATTATAGGGGATTTTTCAAAGAATAAGAATTTTTGAGAACTCTCGCTACCGTTAAACTACCAAAATTACAGCTGCGTTACACAACACGCGTACCGAGCGTGTTAATTAATCCGCGAATCGATTAACCTTTGTCTGACTTCTGTGAGCAGGCCTCTGTCGTAATAGGAGGAAAAAAAGACAGGCTAGAGGAAGAACG